CCAACTCGGCTTCCTTCATTTTCCAAACAAACATAAAACAAGGCTCATGTTGCCATCTACCTCTCCACGGCAACATTACACCCTGTGTCTGTTGTCAATAAAAAAGTACACCTATTGAATGCATTCACAGAACACTGAGGGTGATAGTCAGGACTAAAATACTTCAAAACTTTAAGAGCTTCTATCTGGGCTTTGGTTGGGAAACAGAGGAGTTAAATAAAGCTGCTGCCAACACTGTTAGCGACAATTTTAAAAAAGTCAAGCACCACCTACACTAGAAGATTGGTATGTACAATCTGGGAAATATTTAAACCTCTCTTTGAAGATTTAAAAAGACAAATGCTACCAAATTTGGAGCAAAAATACCAGAATTATAACCAAAGTGTGATTAGATGTTATAAAACTCCACAACTGTTTAAAAGTCCAGTATCTGTTATGATGTGTAGGCTCACCTGTAACGTATTATGACGACCCTCTACCTGTTGTCTTTTCTTTCGCAGAGGCCGAGTTGAGGTCGTCAGATGAATGAGCCACACCTGGGCCCAGTGGCTCAGCTCGATAACACCCACATTCTCCCGAACAGGAGCTGCCCTTCTCCAGGAGCACCAGAAGCTTTGCTTTGACTTTTGTTTGGCTGTTTGTTGCACTTTTGGTTGGGTTTCGATTACAATAAATACCTTTTTTAGTTTAGTTGTCTCCTTGTTTAACGACAGTCTTTGAGCACGGCTCTAACAGTATATGGTTATATTTGTACTACGAAGTGAGACAAACACCCAAACACAAAAATACAACCAAAAAAAATAAAAATCCTTACATGTGGTCACACTGTTGGAGAATTTTCCGAACATTTTCAAAAAATAAAAACACTTATTTAGATTAAAACAGGTGCTGTCTGTTCTCTCAGGTTGCAGATGTGACTGATAACAACCTGAACCTGTTGAATTTTTTTCTTGAAATTATTTAAACGGTTCATATATTTCTTATAACAATTAATTTATTTTTTTTGGAGTAAATATTTTGCAGTGTGCTTCCTTAAACTTAGTGATTT